ACAGAAACAGATCCAACTCTCTTCATCATCAATGACAATGGGACCATTAACATCTAGGCTCAACATTCAAGTACGGTGGGAGGAACTGGATCAGATGAGGTGCCCACGGAGGAAATCTGTATTGGAGGTAAAAATGCTGGAGCAACGAGGCATCCATTTTTAAGGATATCTAGAAAAGGCGATGACACTGAATTACTGGATGGTATTACTACCCCCAAAAAGGCAAGAGAGAGGACAATTACCGATCCACATACCGACTTTCTCATCTTCATGAAACCCTTATGAGAAAGCTCTAAAACATCACGGGTGAAAATGAGATGGGAAAATACAAGTTGTCACAAATGATTTTCTACAGCAGACCAACTCTTTATTGTCACACAATTGCCTGTAAGGCAGCAGGAACGCCAGGGTGGCTCCTGTGCAGATTAAGTGAGATAACAATAATAATGATAAAAGCACTCAGCACAGTGCCTGGCACAAAGTGCTCCATAAATGTCAGCTATTATTACTCTTGCTGTCACTATTATAGTGTTAGTCTGTGATTTCCAGTGCCTTCCCTCTGATAATTATTTCCTATTTAGATAGCTTGTATCTAATTTGTACACACTTGTTCCCAAGTTGTTTACCCATTAGACTGTGAGCTCCTGAGGGCAGGGCCTATGTTTCTTTGTATCTCCAGAGCTTGACACAATGTTGGACACACGGATGCTAATCCATGCTAGCTGACTGACTGGCTTTTCTTTCTTGGGCAGGGTTTCTACAGTTACCTATTATTTTCAACTCAGATAATCAAACTACTACTTTGGGGCTAATACCTGGATGACTGACGTACTCTCATCAAGGAAGCAGAGATGGCGCTTAAGAAGACTGAGGCCAGGTATGGGGTCCACTCCTATAACCCCTGGTGCTGGAGAGGTGGAGGCACAGGCTGGTGGGCGGCTTGAGCTCAGGAGCTCTGAGTGAGGTTAGGTAGTTAGCTAAGCTAGTGCTGGGGCTAAATACTTTATGTGCATTTTCTCATCTGATTTTCACAATTCTGAGAGGTAAATGCTATTATTCCCATTTTACAGATAAAGAAACTGAGGCAGAGTGGATAAGTGATTTGCCCAGTGTCACGTAGCTACTAGGTGTCTGAGGCTGAATCTGAACCCAAGTCTTGCTGACTCTAGGTCCACAGACAGACAGGCTGCCTCTTGTGTTCCTTCCACTTTCTAGAACATTAGCAAAGCCTCCCTCAGTGTCTGAAGGGTAGAGGGAAACCACAGAGCCAAGGAGGGTGGGGGGGGGGTGTAGGAAGGAGGCCATCAGGTTTAAAAGATGTTTAAAGAACAGTAAGTTTCACATAACCAGCTCATAATGATTTTGTCCAACTCATTCATCTTACAGCTTATGTGGCCTATTGGGGGTAAAACAGAAAATCTGGGTTTTCCAGTTAGACCAGCAGCTGCGCTGTTCTCCCATGCCCTCCCATGCTCCCCCACCAGCCTGTTTTCATCTTGCTAGAGAAAGCTTCCCTATGCCCTGGGCACTCAGGTGGGACAGGTACACATGCCCAAAGGAGGGAACAGCCCCCGGTGCTAATGTATTTTCCCACCTGGGAGAATCTTTGATGTGGCTGTTTGCTGTCCCCGGTTTCTGGTAGAGGACTCTGTGCTCTTACCAACAAAATGGCACCTGGCTGCAACTCCCAGTGCTGGGCAACAGCCCTCCGTACCCCACCCTCCACCTCATACCTGGGAGGGCCCCCTCCACCAAGGCAGAGCCACCACTTAGGAGTTTTAGACTCACTCAGGCACAGTGAGTTACCTGAGGGTACTAACAGTCAATACAGAACAGGTAAGACTTGAACTCACTCGGGTCTCAGTGATTCCGAGGCCACTTCAGGCACTCTTTCTTTCACATAAAAGGAGCCAAATCAAGGTTACCTTGTCTACTAGAAAGGCATCCATCCTTTCCCCTCTAAACCTCCATTCTAAGCAGGCTATCCCTCTCTGGCCACCACACCCTATGAAATATGCCATCGGCCCCTATTAGAATTGTAAGCTTCTTAAAACAAACAAAAAAGAATGTAAGCTTCTGGGGGGGGGCAGGGATAGTCTTCTCTTTTTAATTTCTGTCCCCAGTGCTCCTCAGAGTGGCTGGTAAGGGCTTAAGAGTGCTCCTTCACTAATCCTCCCTCCCTCCCTTCCTCTCTCATTTCTTTCTCTTCCCTTTCCCTTGCTCCCTCCATCCTTCCCTTTCTTCCTTCCTTCCCTGCTTCCCCTCCCACTCTCCCTTTCTTCTCTTTCCTCCTTTTCTTGCCTTTTAAACTTGAAAAAGTGTTTCCAAAAAGTTCAGGCATCTTCATCCATTGGGGAATGGCTGAGCAAGTCGTGGCATATGAATGTAATGGAATACTATTGTGCTCTAAGAAATGATGAACAGGCTGACTTCAGAAAAACCTGGAAAGACTTGTATGGACTGATGCTGAGTGAAGTGAGCAGAACCAAGAGGACTTTGTACACAATAACAGCCACATTATGCGATGACTAATATTGTTAAACTGAACCCTTCTCAGCATTACAAGGATCTAAGACATCTCCAGAGGCCTCAGGATGGAAAATGCTGTCCACATCCAAAGAAAGAACCATGAAAATTGAATTGCTATTTTTTTTCTCTTCTGTTGAGTTTTGTTTCCTCTTTCTGGTGGTTCCTCCTGTTGGTTTACTTACAATATCAGTAATGTGAAAATATGTTTAATAGGAAAGTAAATGCATAGCCTATATCAGGTTGTGCATTGTCTTGGGGAGGGTGGTGGGGAGGAAGGGGGAGGAAAAATTTTTAAACTCAAAAGCATATGGAAGCGATTATTGATAAATCAAAATAAATTAATAAAATTAAAAAAAAAGTTCAGGCATCTTAGCACAAACACCTAGAGAGAGCACCCCCCTCCGCCGCACCCCCCAGCTTAATTCTAAGACCTTCTTTTCTTCTTTGTAGTTCTCTGGTCACCATGCCTACCTTCCACTTGAGCCTATAATTAGGAAAGGGGGGAAAAAATCAATTTATTTCCTAACGGAAAACCAGATAATTATTTAAAAGGTTGACTAATAAGGCAGCCCATGTAGTCTGGCTGCCTATGTTAGAGGGAGGAGCTCTAATGTGCATTCTGGGGCCAAAATTTCAGTCTCTGTTTGTGGACACATGCCCACGCCTGAAGCGGAGTGCTCCAGTGTCTCTGAAATGGGATCCAGGAGAGCTGTGTTCTAGTTCTGGCTTTTTCAGTATTAACTGTGTGACCTTGGTCAAATCCCCCTCTCCCTAGGGATCAGCTCCTTCTACAAAATCAATCAATGAGCAAGCATTTATTAAGGGCCTCCTACACCTGGCATCAGGTATTAACCAAACCTCAAGGCAGCTAGGTTGTGCACTGGAAAGTGTTGGGCTTGGAATCAGGAAGATCTGAGTTCAAATCCAGCCTCAGATACTTCTCAGCCGTGTGACCCTGGCAGGTCTTCTCTCATGGTACTCTAGCCTAGGGCTTCTTAAACTTTTTCCACTCATGGCCCTGTCAGCATGTCTCAAATTGTGGGTTTAAGACCCCATATAGGGTCGCGACCCAGAGTTTGAAAAATGCTGCCAACTCTTTGAGCCTACAGCTTGCAGAAGTCCTCAACTGGGCATTCTAGATACTAAAAGTATCTCGAACAGAAGATACCTTTTAGTATCAGCAGAGCTGATCCTTATAAATACAGCCTAAAGGAGCTGGGTTAGAAAGATGACCTCCACAGTCCATTCTTGCTTGGATACTCCCAAGCAATGTGGGGCATTTCACTGTCAAGAGTTAGGGAGAGAAGGGAGGGATCAGTTCTTATAATAGCGGGGCTTCCGATGAGCAGGAAATGCGTGCCGCTCCCCTCCCCCTTGGCTATTTCAACTGTACTGGAGTTCCCTCTATTGATGGAATCAGGATGGAGCAACGATTTCTATTAAGCACCTACTACGTGCCAGGCACTGAGCTAAGCAATGTGGACACAACGAAAAGCAACATCAGTCCCTGCCCTCAAGGAGCTTATATTCCAGGTCTGTCAATAACTATCGTTATTCTAAATATATTATATTTTGTATATTTATATATTACTCATTAGGTATAATTATATTACACATGTAATTATATATTACATAGATATATGCAACACACATGTAATATATGTACCATGTCATATATGTAATTATAGAGTATACTTGTGTTATTAGATAATATATTTAATATTAACTATATATAAACACCTATTCTACATATAATTATAAAAATGTTTAGAATAATCATACTGAATATATAAGGATTTAAATATATGGCTAAACAAATAAATAAATAAATGTTCCAAAGATATAGATAGATAATAGAATAGAGGCCATTTGGCCACTGAGTTAATGGCAAAAGCAGGATTAGAATCCAGGCCTACCGACACACTGGTGTGGCAGCAATACTTTTCTCTATGGTCAGACTGGGTGTCTGCCTAGCCCAGGACTAGGAACACACAAACACGAGGTTCTCCAAACATCCCTGTCCTTAATTCCCCCAACGGCACTGACATTGAACCCTTCATTAGAACAAATCAACTGGTCGCCCTTCCAATCCTCAAAGTCTATGACTCAAAGAGCAAGATCATCCATCAGAGGCCATGTGGATGAAGCCTGTCAAAAGAGCCCCCATCCAAGACCAGATGCGAGGCTCCCACCAGACCAGCTAGAGCTGCCTCTAACACACACACACACACACCCCCCTCAGAATGTTTCTAGCAGCCACACCCATTAATACTCAGGTGCACTACTGAGTTTCTCAGCCCCTTTCCTGGGACTGGTGAGTGACTTCAGACACATGTCCCTCATTTCACGGCTAAGAGACAAAAGCTGGATGCTGATGACTCATGCTGATAAGAGAATGGTCAGGTGGGATTGCAGATGTCTCCTCTCTCCCTCCCCCATAACGGAGAGCCAGAGACTCGGACTCCACTTACCCAGGAAGCCCTCTTCATCCACGATGATGGTGTAATCCTCTGGCGTTTCGGTCAAGCTGAAGAACTTGCACCTGGCAGACAAGAGGAGGATGTCAGTGACAGGTTAGTCACGGGCACAACTGTAGCCCCCACCTTAGGGTGCCATCCTGCCACTCAGAAGCATCCCCTCCGACGTGCAGGATGAGCATAAAGAAACACTGAAGGATGCAAAGATGCACAATTATAGAGAAATTAAACTACCCGCCTTTCTATGCACTTTCAAGTTCACACATTAACTTATTTCTTATTGTCTCTGACTCTTATTCAATCACAGAATCTTAGAGTTAAAAGAGATTTCAGGGGCAACTAGGTGGCGCAGTGGATAGAGCACTGGCCCTGAAGTCAGGAAGACCTGAGTTCAAATCTGGCCTCAGACCAAACACTTGACACTTACTAGCTGTGTGACTCTGGGCAAGTCACTTAACCCCAATTGACTTTTTTTTTTTTTAAAAAGAGATTTCAGAGGCCATCTGACTTGGCTTATACGTAGGCAAGAATGCCCTCATATTTAATAAGTGGTCATTCAGCCTCTGTTTGAATACCTTCTGCGATGGCGATTTCAGCACCTTTCGAAGAAATCCATGCCATTTTTAGACCTAATTATTAGGAAGTTTTTCCTTTGGTTGAGCTAAAACCCCTCTCCCTCCCTCTAAATTCTGCTCATTGATCCTGGTTAAAATAAAAACAATACTAACAAAGGAGAGGCAGTGTGGTATAATGGGTGGAGTATTAGCCTTGGGACTAGGAAGAGATGAGTTTGAGCTATTCTTTGGACACCACCTGGTACAGTCATTTACCCTGGACGGTAGACAAACCTCTAAGACCATCAGATAGTTACAGAGAAGAGAACGTCCCAGCATAAGCATTGGTAGGAGCTTCCTCAACCAAGAGTTAATGAAATCATGGAACCAGTCCCTCTAGCAATGGTTTGTGTTAATACTGCCCATAATCACACAGAGACTAAGTGTCTACTGGACACTATTGGACATCTATTGGAGGCTGTGGGGATGAACCCTGCCCACAGACTTCCCCACCCAAGACCAAATTCCTTCATATGCCAGAAAGCTTGCAGTATCTGAAGGAAACCCAGATCTCCTGGACTGCAGCTCACTACCTGTGTGGTCACAGGCCACTCCCCTTTGCTGGACCTCGGTTTCTTTTTTTGAGAAAAATCAGGGGATTGCACCAAATGGCCTCTGAGATTTCTCCCAACGCTCATTCCCGCATTCAGGGTAACAAATCTAAATTTCTCTGCCTATAATTGATCAACAAACAAGCATTTAGTAAGCGCCTACTGTGTGCCAGGCACTGAAGAAGGCCCTCGGTAACTTATATTCTACTATGGCAGTAGCTCTGAACCTGGGATCTGTGAAGGACTGTCTTGATCACTGGGTCCCAAGGTAATTGTGTTCCTTTGTAAACCTGGGTGTTTTATTTTGTGCATTTAAAAACCCAACTCTGAGAAGGAATTCATAGGCTTCAGCACACTCTCTAAGGGGTGACATGATACAAAAATAGGTGAAGAACCTCTAGGCTACAGGGATTTTAACATTTTCTTAGAGAAATACAGATAAATAAACACACATACATATAATACATATGAAATGATTCTGCAAAAGTCTTTAAGAGTTTTAAGTTCCGAATTTTCTTTCTCCTTTCCGCCCCTCCCCATCCCATTCAGAAGGCAAGAAATGTGAAATCCACTATCATGTGAAATCATGCAAAACATATTTCCATATTAGCCATAAATACAGGATATATTTTTTAAAAAGCATCAGAGAGACAGGAGGGGGGAGAGAGACTGGCAAGTGGGGAACCGGTTAAGACATCTTAGAGGACCTGGCACTGGAACCAGGCCTTGAAGGGCGTTAGGCCTAATTTCCTTGGATTGATACTTGGCCAACTTCCAGCGTGTTAAACACTTGACACAGTTAAAATGCTATCTCTGTTCTAACCCTTAGGCGTTATGCGTGCACAGACACACATATTTGCTGCATTCTCCAGCTTAAAAATCCCCAGTTCCTTCAGGTTTTGTGAGATAAATTGGGATTTGGGGCCCTCACTAGATGCTGTCCGTGCCCTGAATGGCCAGAGATGATGCCACCTGAGCATATCATGGAGGAGAAAGCTGAGAAGGGGCCGGCCGCCCATCTCCATCTCCCTCCACCGCAAGAGAAGAAAGCCTGTCAGTTCCCCTTGATAATCCATCGGGGGGGGGGCGCGCCGGGCTGGCAAGAGACCTGCCCAGGCCTATGTTTGGGGCTAATTTTGGCTTCTGTGGGCAGCGCCAATACATGCCTACAGAACTGGCAAATTGCTTGGCCCCTTCACAGTCGAAATGTTTTTGGTTTTAAGATTTTTTTTTTAATATGGCAGTCACTTTCAAATCTATCCCTTCTCTTTGCCCTCCATAGAGAGCTATCCCTTACAACAAAGAATAAAAAAGAAAAAAAAATCAGAAAAAAATACATCAACTAAGTCTGGCAGCATATACTAGGGATTTAAAATCCTTTGGTAGTGTCTGATGAAACTTATGGACCTCTTCCCTGATCTCTACAAAGAGAAAGGGAAAGAGGGAGGGAAGAAAGAATGAAGGAAAGAAGGGAGCAAGGAAGGAAGATAAGAAGGGAAGAAGGAAAGGAGGGATGGGAAGAAAAGAGGAAAGAAGGTAGGGAAGGAGAGAGGAAGGACGGAGTTAAAAAAGAGAGAGTGGGAGGAAGGAAGGAAAATGGAAGGAAAGATGGAGAAAGGAAGGTAGGGAAGGAAAGAGGGAAAAAAGGGAAAAGGGAGGAAGAAAGAAAGGAGTAAGAGAGGTTGTATTAAATAAATGTCTACTGTGCGCCATGCGCTACGCTGTATGCTTTACAGATATTGTCTCCTTTGAGTTTCACAACAACCCTGTGACGTAGGTGTTGTGATTACCTCCACTTCATAGTTGAGGAAACTGAGGGCTTATGGAGGTGAAGTGAGTTGCCCAGGGTCACACAGTTAGTGTGTGAGGCTGGATTTGAATTCAGGTCTTTCCGACTCCAGGCCCAGCACTCTCTACTGCATCACCACTCTCAGCAGGATCAAAGCGTATGGATGTTTTAGTGATTTCTTAGTATAACTGCAAAATTTAAATGCAGTTCAATTTTAATGAGAAAATTATCAACTCTTCCATGTTATTAATTATGAATACATCAGTAAAATTTAACTTAGATAATAGGTATTATTATACTTAGTCTAGGGGACCCAGACCAGCCTTATGCTTGGTTGCCCCCAGAGACCTGGGAAAGAAAGGTTCCCCCTCTCCCCCCCGCCCCCGCCGCCTCCAGGGGCTGCCACTTAAGGTGTTTAAAGGTCAAGCAGAAAAAAACAAAAAATGAGCTCTTGGTTTCAGTTCTAAAAGTCTACTATCCAAAGAGAAGATCATCCATCAGAGGCCATGCAGATGAAGCCTGTCAAAAGAGCCCCCATCCAAGACCAAATGTGAGCCTCCCACCAGACCAGCTAGAGCTGCCTCTAACACCCACACCCACACAGCCTCTCTTAGAATGTTTCTAGCAGCCACACCCATTAATACTAGAGAGCAAGAATAATAGAAGTAAAAACAACAACAATAATAATAACTGCCATCAATAAAGCCTGTTAAGCTTTGCACACAGCACTTTCCAACCATTATTTCAATGGAGAAACATGTGAGATGGGTATTATTGTTCCCACTTCACGGAGGAAAAAAAATGAGGCTCAATGACATGAAGGGAAACTCAAAGTGTTTCACAGATGAGTGGGAAGATTTGAACCCAGGACCCGGTTACAATATGACAAGATTCCCTTCCCCTTCCTTAGACTTGATGCGAGGCCCAATGCTCTAACCATTGCACCACCTTGTAAGCATTTAATAAACGCCTGATGGACTGACAAATTCCTCTCTGGAAGCTCCTTACATTGATTAAGAACAAAATAAAATAATTCCACCAAAAAAACAAAACAAAACAAAACAAAACAAAAGCCCATGAGAACTCACTTGTTCAGGGCACAGCAAATGAAAATGTGAGCCCCATTTTAGAGACTGAGAAAATGAAGCTCAGAGAGAGTGAGATGCCCGAAGCTGGTGCACAAGTTCGTATTGGCTGAAGCGGGCCCGCCATCTTGGCCCTCTTTCACCAGACCAGCTGCAAACCTCTGAGCAGGAGGACTCGGCCTGGTCTCTATCCCCCGTGCCAAGGCCCTCTGGGAGCCTGGATACCAGCACAGCTGGGCCTTACATTCCGAAGCAGCCCCTCAGATCCCCTCTCCTTTCCCGCCTGCTCAGGCTGCCACGGCTTTGGAGGGCAGGTCAAGGTGGGTCCGCTTGTGGAGGGGTGTGTGTGGGGACTGGCCCAAGTAACCAAGGCCATTTATCAGGTCTTGCTTTCTCCCGGCGTACAGTCAAATTCTGACTCTTACTGAAAATACATCCATCACTGGAAAACCTTGAGGGAAAATAACCCCGGTGAACAAAAGAAAGGAAAGATGAAAAATGAACAAAAATTCTGGATGAGCATATGCCAGCTGGTTGGGGGGATCAGCTCCCTGGGCTCAAAAATGGGCTGTGGGGGGAGCAAATCAAAGTCACAGAACCTCAGAATTCACAGGCTTGAGAACTAGACCAGGAAGGGTCCTCAGAGACCATCTAGTCCAACTCCACCATTTTACAGACGGAGAAACTGAGTCCATAGGGTGAAGGGACACAGGATGTCAGTCCTCGGGCTGGAAGGGACTTTCGGTCATCTAAACCAAATCCTTCATTTTAGAGAAGGACACTGAGCATGAGAGATGAGAAATGGGCACACAGGCAGATATGTGTGCAGCACATAGAGTGACTAGAGTCAGGAGGACCCGAGTTCAAATCTGCCCTCAGACACTTCATAGCTTCGTAACCCTAGGCAAGTCACTTAAGCCCATTTGCCTCAGTTTCCTCATCTGTAAAACAAACTGGAGAAGGAAATGACAAACCACTCCAGTATCTCTGCCAAGAAAACCACAGACAGGTCAAGTCATTCACCCT